CTTTCTTTTGACAAAAGGATGAAGTCTCTATCTGTCAGGGAAGCCGAGATATTGCAAAATAAAAAAGGTCTTCAACTTTTGAACAGCACTTTTTATATAAAAATTAACCCGGTCCTGAAAGGGTTAATATAATGTGTTCGTTGTAGATTCAAAATGGTACAATTCTATCCTTGCAAAAAAATTTTCAATGTGTCACTACCAGTACGTGTATCATGCTGTGAGTCACTGACTTGCATCAGTGCCCAACAAATATCGATTAGCATTGGTGCCGCACTGGTTCAAGAGTGCCATCAGTGTCAGAAAAATCTCACATCGATATATATCCGTGCACGACTAGTCCCGATAAAAAAAATTTTTTTGCATAGATATACACAAATAATGACCACCTCAAACGGATGTTGTGATGCTGACGCCGCTTATACTAATAGATTTAACGCTGTTATATGCCTGAAAATAAAAATAATTTTTTGTTTGCTTCAAATGCAAACTTCAACATTGACTGAGAAAGAAAAAATCATTATAATTGAACAATCGATCCATCAGTCACTTATCTAGCGGTTCATAGTAGCTGTTTTCTTAAATTTAATATATTATATGTGAGTCTATCATTCTAGTGACTAAGAATTATAGTTCTTATTTCATCAAATAAAACGTAAGGCAAATCTAAAACCAAATATCTAGTTTATAGCAAAAAAACTTTGCTTCATCTTAAATATTAGTCATATTCACGTTTTCTAGTCAATATCAATTTCCTTATAAAATTGAATAGAATGAATCGAATATTTAATAAATTATTCGAGAACAAATTCATTAAAAAACAATATTATATTTTAGTATATTTTCTTGTTCTTTCATCTTATTCATGTCTTTCTGTCATTGATTTACTTTATCTAAGAAACCGACAAGTAAAAATAAAATGAGAAACATGACAAGTTAAAAAATGAATAAAATATAAAATTTGATTGGATTCAGTCACTACTCTATTATTTAACGATTTTAATAATAAATAATGTACAGTAGTTGCTTTGAATATACATACTTGTTCCTTATTTAATGATTGACTGTTAATTGTTAATTCTTGTTGACGTGAGATGTCGACGTCTTTAATGTATATACGTTATCACTAAGAATATCACACAACTGTTGTAATTCAATACCCATGAAGGTGGTTTTTCTTTTCTGGACTCTTGAATGGTAAAGTATTCGAAATCATAACAAGTATATATGATATTGAATTCTTACTGTAGACAACTTGACGTCGTCTATCTCTCTTAATGACTTCTTCGATATCTTTTGACATGACTTGTTTCAATCGACGTATTTCATCATTTATTAACAATATCATTTGTGTAGTCATGGAAATCTTCATGCATACCACGTGAATCTATTAGACTTCGTAAATAAAGACACATGAGCATAAACTACTTCTCATCATTTTCCAATATAAAAAACTTTTCCACATTCATTCTTATTGGAATGAGTGTTGATGTGAAGCATCAAAACCCAAGAATAATTTTTTTATCGAACGAATAACATGTTGCTAATATTGAACGTGTGATTTTCATTTTAGAACTGCTCTAAAATGAAAAAAAACACTTAATTCAACTATATTATTTGTGTATTATCGACACAATTACTCTAGATGCGGTACGGAACGCTGTTTTTTTGCTATGATTCGAATGCAAATGAAATGTGATCATATCTAAACTTAGATATCCAATTCATAACAAAAAGATAACTTTATGTCAGATATTAGACAAATTCGCGTTGTTTCAGAAATTTCAGACAACTTTGATTTTTCAGCAAAAATCTGTCGAAAAAATTCGAAAAAAATCAAAGTTGTCGAAAAATTCTGAAACAAAGATTGTTCAATGCAGTTTTTAACGGTAATTCCAAATATGATGTTGGTTTTGAGAAAAAAATCGAAATTTGATTGCCAAAACTGCAAAATATGAGTATATTTCCTTGATTTTTTTCGTATTTGAATTATAATGGATTGAGCCAATGGTATGTAGAGTTTGTTTACTGAAAATGTGGCAGAGCTTTTCAAGAGCTATTTTGCTATACTAAAGACTAGTTGCATTCTCTCTTATTTATTGGAAAAAATGATCGCTGAAAGATGATCACTAGATAGGGAATGTTTGAAAATAAACCATTTCTCCTTAAATATACAGTGCGTGGCTATGGTCCACGTACTAGTTTGTTCAGTTTTTCATTGTCTATCTTTCTATATCAAGCTTTACCGTAACTTTATATTAGATGTTGAACAGAATCGTTTTTATTAAGCACTGATATGCTTTATGTACCTCCTCAGAAAAGTTAATTTAAAATGTCTCCATAAGGTTATATGCACTTAAAAATGTGTAAAATCGTTTTCACTACAAAATCTGATCAAAATTAAGTCGAAAAAGCAGTGGGTCAAAATCAAGGAAAATCGGACCCCCTCCTTTTCTTGTAAAATTGTAAAACTGATTAGTGTGATATGTCTAATCTATCTTTGCTTTCAATTGCTGGCCATACAATTTATCAGCTTTCGTTTTGTAGTTAATGCTCCACTTAGATTTAACAATATAAACTCTTTTTAAAAAACTGAAGGTAATTAATATTTGTCTTCTTTACATCAAATCAAATAGGAATACGAACCTCATGATATTTCATTTTGTAGAGAATAAATTTAGCCTATGAATTCAAAAAACATTCAGAAAAAAGTAGCCGTGAAACTAGAATTTTTTTCCAAAAATGTTCAACAAACAACTGATACAAAACTAAAAAAAAAGAATCTCCATGTGTATGTTTAAAAATAGACTAAATAGATTGAGAAAAAAATGTACAATTGCTAGAAAATAATTGTTTTTATTTTTTGGGTGGTGGTGGTGGATCTGGAATAAGTTTATCGAATGCCGATGGTTGTTTCAAACGATATTTAGACATACTCGTTTCAAGGTCATAATGACTATATAAATTGTAATCATACATATCAGCAGCTAAATACTCCGATTTTTTTGTCGACGATTGCGATAACTGAGATGGCGGTTTCACAGGTTTAGAATTTAGTTGTTCTTAAAAAAAAGATAAATCATTACATTCAATTGTAAAACATCAACATCCGTGTTTTAAAAGAAACTGCTTCTTTCAGCTCTTAAATCTAAATTTTAAACTACTAATGAAAGGATCAGTAGTAAGATATGTTACATTGTAACTTATCAACCAACAAGTATCCGATTGGTAGCAAATATTGCAATTTTATTCTTATTCAGCTATCATCTTACTTTCGTTCGTTGTTGCTGCTATTGAGCGTAGTTGTACGCCTTGTAAAAAACTTTGAATAAGGAAGAATGGTTGCTAAAGAAAATAAGTTAAATGTATTATTGGTTAAATGAGTTTGTGTCTACTACCTTACGAAATATTGAAGTTATCATCTTCTTTATGTAAATAATTCTAAAATAGACGAACTTTCAGTCAAACTTCTGTAATTAAAAATATTTGCAAACGATCAAACGAAATACACACACAATCTTTTCAAGACAATATAATTCTTCTCGTTCACATGTGAAGTGATGAAATAGAATAACGAAATTATCAGTTGCTTTAGATTAAATTAAAATGTTAAAACTTTTTAACAGAAAGAATTCGCATTATATAACAAATTCACTTTGATAAAAGAAGACTAACGAAATTTGATTCCACAATTTCGTAAACAGTACATCCCAATGACACGCAATGTGTTCGACTCATAGCAAAAAAATCTGCCGCCTACGCTAAATATGTCTAAACATATCCATTTTATTTTAATTATTGCTGAAGAAATATAAACAAAACATATAAATTGTTTAGCATATTTTTGGGTCAATCTCAAGAAAAAGTGTGAATTTAAAAGGCTTCAGTCTTTTATACAGCTCCTACCTAAAATCCGCATAAAACTACTTGCAGTGCAGTTCAGTTCATAGTTGCCACCTTGTCCGGATTTTCTAGACAAATTCCGGTTTGGGTTTTTTTCGGAATTTGTTCGGATTTTGACAATTTTCTGCTTTTGGCTGTTTTTTCCTGATAATGAAGATTTTTTTAAGATTTTCTTTTATCCGTAGTGTGTGGAGGTTACCTTTCTCATATTATAGGCCCGTTAAAGTGCCAGTTACTTTTTGGAGCAGAAATATACATTCAAAAAATAGCGTGCTGATTACAATCGAAATTTATATTTATGTTTGTTGTTTTCTTGTATTTTATCGAGTAAAACCATACAGAGCTAGGGAAGAAACATTTTTGGCACTGCGGAGTAGAAAAAGGTTAAATAAGGCTGTGAAGATGGATTTTCCGTTTTCAAAATCCGGATTTTAGGATTATAATGCCAGATTTCTGACTTGTACAGGTGGCAGTTCTGGTCCAGTCACTCAATAGTCAAGATGTTTCACGATTCATTTTATCAAGTTTATTGTGTAGACCTACTGCCACAAAACAAAAGGATCAATGAAAAGAAAACTGAACACATTACTTTTCAAGAATTTCATCTGAAACAAACAAACGCAGATGAAACCTTAGCAGTCCGTATAATACCATCCATCAATTTTAAGAGCAAATGAAAAGGCTGATTTATTTATGCACTGTGTTCGTAAAGCTAATGAATCATTATTTTGAAAAACATATCTTATTTTCTCTAATAAAAACTATCACTTTTTGTTTGAATTACTACTAGAAATGGGGTTTATTTGGTTAAAGGACTTTTGACTTTTGAACAAGATGTCTGTTCTGCAATCAATATATAATTATAAGGTCAGGATACGCTAGTCGTAAACAATGTACTAACAAACAAAATGATTAAATGTATTGTTAAAGAAAAATTTAAATTCACAGGCCTGTTGTTTTGTTAGCAAAACGTAGCACGAAGACGATTTTTTTCTATCCTCTCTTGAAATGGCACCATCTGATCTTTTTTCTTTATGAATCATCTTTTCCTATTTTCTTTCAGATGAAGCTGTTTTATTTCAATAATAGAAGCTAGTCTTTATCACATAATTTTGGCTATCTATCTCTCTATCAGCAAAAAAATCTAATTTTAACTATTTTTAAATTTTTGTACTCGGTATCTGTTAAAAAATGTGAATTAATTAATTATTTATTTTTAACACGAAATAAATATTTTGTTCTTTTTTAAATTAATTATCGTGAACTATGTATACAAAGAGAATGATTCTATTAAAGTTGGATATAATATTCTACTTATATCAGCAAAACTCATTATTTATCTAAATATAGCAAATAAGAGAATGTTGAACAATTAGATATACATTAATTAGTCAACAAAATACAAACAGAAATGGCTGATTTAGAAGCAGTATTAGCCGATGTATCCTATTTAATGGCGATGGAAAAATCGAAGTCAACACCGGCAGCGAGTGCTAGTAAAAAAATCGTACTACCAGATAGAACGTACGTATTGATTTTTCATGTTTCAGAATATTTCAAATATTATAGAGTTGGATATCTGTGAACAAACCTAAAATCTCAAAATAAATATCCGATATTTTCTTTTATTTCGAAATATGAAGTATACCCCGCTAAGTCTTGCTTGCTGTCTATTTGAGATACGCGGTTCTCTCCATTTTTACTATTTTAATGAAATATGTTTTTTCTTTATCTATTTTAGTGTCCGAAGTGTTACTCATAAACATTTACAGAAAATGTATGAAAATACATTTGATAAAATATTTAATCAACAAATTGGTAAGTGAGATAAAACAACATTATTTTTGATATAATTGAAAATTTAGTTGATGTTGTTCCTTGCGAATAAATTGTGTAAAGAAATTACATTATTTAGTGTACAGGATATGTTTTAGGGGAAAAATCTATTTCGTAACGACTTAACAACATTTTTTTGTTTTTGAGCACATTTTCAATTAACTACTGAATGTGAAATCTGCTGAAAAATGCTGCTTTTCATAAGAAAGTTATCCTACAAACAGAACAGACATTTTGTGTACTATTTCTCATTATATATTTTTCTATTATTCTGTTGTTTTTTTTTACTATAACTTTGGAAAATATTCATAGTGTTATACGAGTTCATGTTTTCCATTAGAGCTAATCAGACTTATTTCATAATAAGGTTAGACATATCTGTCTAGAACTTTTTTCTTCTATAAAAAAAAAGTGATTGTGATTTATGTTGTTAATTAATGCATATATCGGTAATAGTTTCTTCTTCCGGTAACTTCATAGACATCCGGAAATGTTGCTCATTTATTATTTTAATATTAAACTTTTTGTTCAGAATATGATTGTTAGAAAATAGAGGTTAATACTATCGTTTAAAATCGATCTACTATTATTTAGCACATTGATTAATGTTCAATAATTTGAAAAAAGTATTTTTAGTCACTTTTAAAAAATTAATATAAAAAAAGATGTAGTTGAAAAAGTTAAAGTTATTTTTAAAGCAATAAAATTTCAATGCATACGTTCATTTTTTCATCATAAATAGCAAAAAGTACAATTGTATCATCTTTCTTTTGATTAAAAGTTTTTTATCTGTAGAAAAAAATAGTCTCATGGTTTATATCGATATTGTAACAACAAATGTTAAGAACCATAAATTTGATTGCTTGAAAGGTGATAAATTATGTTGACAAAAAAGTCTAAAATCATCTTGTAGTTTTTCTCTCATTTGGGGTGAATATTAAGACATTGACACAAAGTACCGTTTGTTTCTATTATACTTTATATTCATGTAATTACACTCAAAACATCTTTATGTTTTCTGAGCTGATTATTTAGTATCATATGCTTTTTAATTTTTGACATGTCATATATTGTGTTTGATAATCTGCTTTTGCTCTTTTTCTCTCTCCCTCTCCTCTCTTCCTCTCTCTTTCGGCGTTTGACTTATTTGTCTATATTATTGCATGTAAACCGTAAATCTCGTTTTCCTTTTTTCTTCTCTCTATATTTCTATATAATCGAAACAGTTTTTTTTTTTTCTTCTTCCTTTTCTGGCTCTTTTTAATAACCTTGATGTGTAACAGTATAGACACCTGGAATGTGAACATAATTATTGTGTCCTTAAACAGTTTGTTTTTGTCATCGCCGTTGTCGTTAAAATATCACGTAATCCAATTTACATATATACGCTGTTAATTAATAGACAGAGAAAGTCATATAATCATTGTATACCATATATATTTGTTTCTTGTTTCTAAAAGACGTGTGAATGACAGAAAGTCACAGTTGTCACAGCAGTAGACGCCAAAAAAATAATAATAATAATATACTACAAACGCATCGTATCTTCAACATACCAAGTTTTAGCTATTTACATAAAAACATTCATTTCTGCCAATTAGAAATGTTTATAGTTTAGAACGACACTAAAATGCACTTTCTTTTCAAGTACAAACAAAAACTTGATCAATAATTAACACTATCAGATCAAGTTAGCATGACTTGAATAAATTCTATCAACTGTTCAAACATTGATATTTATTTATTTAGAAGATTCATATAATGAACAAGAGATGAGAGTATATGAACATTCAATTGACATTTGAACAGATATCTATGAAGAATAATAATATTAAAATAAGATAAAAAAAAAAAAAACTTCATTTTTTTTCTTCTCTTCACGTGTTCCTATACTATTTTTGCCTCTTTTTTTGTTCAAAACAATTAAATCTTGCCGAAAGGATAAATTTTAAGTTTTCTATTGAGAAATAATCTGATCTGTTTCTTTTGTTATGTTATTCTTCTTCTCTATTGTTTCACATTTCCGCAAAAATATCTAATCTGATTTGTGTATGTGTGTGTGTGTGTGTGTGTGTGCAAGAATAAAATGCACAGTTATTCTATTTTTTTGCTCTGTGTGTGTATGTGTGTTTTGTTCATTACTAAATAGATCTCTCTTCTCACTTTGATCTACAGTATAGAGTGCTTGACACAACATGTTCACACTTTAATATTCTTTTCTTTTGAAAAAAAAACGGAAATCTGTAAACGTGCTTCTCTTTTTTATAGCAGAAAAAAAATATATACTGTTTTTTCTTGCGTTCTCTCACTAATTTTCTGTTGCATTTCAAGCATATATACAATTGATGTGACCTATATAGTCTCTTCTCTTGTGTTGTTGTTCTCTTTTTCAACAACGATCAATGTGTTTTATGAACGATAAAAAGCTCACTAAGTGGTTTTCTAGCTAAAAACAAAAAAAGTTACATTTATCAGCTGAAATAAAACGAAAAAATAGTAATGATTATAGGTAGAATATGGATGTGCCCCCTCCCTTCCTCCTCCCCCCCCCACT